TTGCAGAGCTTACGCATTCTAGGTGCCTCCACAGAAGTGAAGGGGTGTGTTGACTGGTCTGCTCTCGATTTTGGTCCATCACGTGGCCCTTTACTTCCACTCTTCTCACCAACACACGCCAACTTTGGTGCACTTGTCGGACCTGGAAATAGTGACCACGATTAGTCCATACGCCGATTGAACCCCCATGAAGACTAGACTCAGTCCCAAACTCTAAAGAATGGTGAATGTGGAATGCACATTGTGCAATGTGCAATATGCCTCGTGCATGATGTAAAGGCAATATTTTACGTGACCTTTACTTATCATTTGTCAACAATGTGCCTGCAATCAACTCAGCCCTACAATTACTATTTGCCTGCCGCTTCACCTCTTCACCAAAACTATCAGCTCATGGAAGTTACCTCACTCACCTCTCATCCATCGATGTTCTCCACTACACTGTTCACACGTCTTCGCTGATGCAATCCATTGGTAGTGCAAACTTCGGGTTTAACGTTGCCACAACCATCGCCTTAGGAAAACAATTCTCTCGGTCAATCAACCAAAGCAATCTGCACATACGATCCTCGCAGAATAGAGAAGCATAAACCTTGTTTTACTTGTTGCCCGATTCATTACCCTCACGCCTAACCAAATCCCCATCAACCATCCAACCCAAAAACCCCACCCTCCAACCTTCCACCGTCCAACCATCCACCCCACACGAACTCCCTTCTCCTTAGTTATCGCTGTGCTTTCTCCTCCACCCTATCACAACGCTTCACAATGAATAACTCTTCACCACTCTTTGCCCTTCCTTCCCCAATAATCATTCAACTTTTACTTCACTCATTTCAGACAACTCAAATTCGATAACCTACCTCCTCTCTCTTGGCTTCCAGCTAATAGCGCTTGGTTCGGCAACTTGCTCACAACTCGGCTTTGTCCTGTCTGTGGTCCTGCTCCAGGTAAGAAATCTGAAAAGTGGCATTCAAATGCATCCTCATTCCAGTTGAAGACAATGCGCAATATTTAACGTGGAATAATTGAATCGAACACTACTAATACCTCAAATCACCTTATTTGGCTTGGAATATGGAATTGACACGCAGTGTGTTGGCCAAAATCACCTTTGGTTTTGACTCTTATTTCCAGAACGTTGAATGTAATTTTTAAATCGTACTCACTTATTGGTCAAACCAATTCTTTTTGTATGTAAATCAACGCATTGTCCCAATTTTATAATTTCGGAATTAAAAGCATCAACAGCATTAGCGGGAGCATCAGCAACAACAGCAGCAAATGGCAATCCAAACTAGCGGGTGACGATGACAATATGATCTGATTTAGCACATGACCACACAAAGCTCCCAATTCAACTTGCCCATATCCCTCCATTCTGTGTACAGACTCAAGCTTGCTTTTGGCCCAATTTATTGTACACGAGAACTGTTGTGGTTTAAATATGTGCCAAATGGAATGACTTTTATTGAGCAAAGCCCACCTCCATAAACGCCTGTTTGAACGAGAAGCGTCATTGAATATGATGCCAAAACCTACGATCTCACAGCCCCACACCGAATATAGTCTATTATTGAAGAGATATTCGCCTACCCAAGATACTATTGTCAAGATTGTTCTTTCTATTTATTTCACTCATATCTGATTTCACCAGTATCAGAATATAAATAACTTTTGCACCCTACAAATGCTGACTTCTGCTATTGACAACTTCAATAACACCAAAATGTGTACACCGAATACGTGAAGTCTTCCAACAATTTGGTGTGTCTTTGCTCAAAACCCATCCACGTGGACAACAAGCACTTGATAATAACATGTAAAACAAAAGTCCACTTGAATTTAAATAGCTGAGGCACAAAGAAGCACAAATGCCTTACCTCTTCTTGGTTCATGATTACGAATTAGTGATCTGCGATTAGAAGAAGTTTTCTTCTTCGGCTCTTCTGCCAGCATATTTTCATCTCCTTCGTCAAAATCGTATACACTTTCTTCCAATCTCCTTTTCCTACCTGAAGGTGAGGTATCGTAGTATCAAATGCAAAATGATTTATGATTGCTATCATAGGTCCACCACGTAATTGATAGTTGAAGAAGTACCAAAGAAATGAGGTCAAATGGACATTTGAATTAATCAATTATAACGCAGGTTCCTGCGAACCAGTCAGACGAATACGACAAAGAGCCAATGGCACAATCTGTCTACCTTCCCATTGATCCATTTCAGATAATTCTCACAATAGAGAGGTGATTAGTATTTTAGTAGTACGTAGTGAAATTAAAAAAGACTGGAGCATAGCTAAGTGGAGTCCTTAAGCAACCTGTTAGTCTAAATGTGTTCACCACAGAGTAGCAGGCAACAGGTATTCGATCCAATTTAAAGATGAGAAATAAAGGCTAGTGAATAATAGCTGAAGAACTGCCTAAACAATGGCTCAACCTGTCGGTAGGTCTTCAAGTGAAACGTTGCCTTTGTGAAGAGGATTCCCAACTAGATTTGTGCCAATTCAAAGAGATGATACGCTTAAAGCCAATCAGAAGGGTAGAAGCGTTGACAAAAGCAAACAAGCTTGAGATTACAGAGACCAAACTATATGAAGCTTCTCATGCAACTTATCTCGATCTACTCCATAAATCGTACACAACACCACTCCAACTCGCCTCCCATTAATATAAAAACTCACTACCATTTCCTATACGACTAGTATTGGAAAGTGCATTTCATCATCGCTGAGAATAATGACATAAGTATTCAACCTTCACCAAGAAGGGTCAAAATATTATCGAACCACTGCATGATAAGTAAATACTCATTTCTTGAGATATAGAGGAAAAACCTTACATGATATTCCATGAGGTTCGAAATGTGATATTTCGTCACGCTTCTTCTTGAAAACTTTGATACGTCCACCCGATGATTCCCTAATAGGAGGAAAATCTAAAAATTAGAAATAAAATGAATCCTCATTCCAGTTGAAGACAATGCGCAATAGATAAGGTGAAGTTATCGAATTAACCGCAAACATCTGACAAGTGACTGCACAACGTACTCAGTCCTGTCAGCTAATAGAACATATGCAGAGCTCACGCATTCTAGGTGCCTCCACAGAAGAGGAGGGGTGTGCTGACTGGTCTGCTCTCGATTTTGGTCCAACACGAGGCCCGTTACTTCCACTTTCCTCACCCACACACGGCAACATTGGGGCACTTGACGGACTTGAAAATAGTAACCACGATTAGTCCATACGTCGAATGAACCCCCATGAAGACTAGACTCAGTCCCAAACTCTAAAGAATGGTCAATATGGAATGCACATTGTGCAATGTGCAATATCCCACGTGCATGATGTAAAGGCCATATTTTACGCGACCTTTACTTATCATTTGTCAACAATGTGCCTGCAATCAACTCAGCCCTACAATTACTATTTGCCTGCCGCTTCACCTCTTCACCAAAACTATCAGCTCATGGAAGTTACCTCACTCACCTCTCATCCATCGATGTTCTCCACTACACTGTTCACACGTCTTCGCTGATGCAACCCATTGGTAGTGCAAACTTCGGGTTTAACGTTGCCACAACCATCGCCTTAGGAAAACAATTCTCTCGGTCAATCAACCAAAGCAATCTGCACATACGATCCTCGCAGAATAGAGAAGCATAAACCTTGTTTTACTTGTTGCCCGATTCATTACCCTCACGCCTAACCAAATCCCCATCAACCATCCAACCCAAAAACCCCACCCTCCAACCTTCCACCGTCCAACCATCCACCCCACACGAACTCCCGTCTCCTTAGTTATCGCTGTGCTTTCTCCTCCACCCTATCACAACGCTTCACAATGAATAACTCTTCACCACTCTTTGCCCTTCCTTCCCCAATAATCATTCAACTTTTACTTCACTCATTTCAGACAACTCAAATTCGATAACCTACCTCCTCTCTCTTGGCTTCCAGCTAATAGCGCTTGGTTCGGCAACTTGCTCACAACTCGGCTTTGTCCTGTCTGTGGTCCTGCTCCAGGTAAGAAATCTGAAAAGTGGCATTCAAATGCATCCTCATTCCAGTTGAAGACAATGCACAATAAATAAGGTGAAGTTATCGAATTAACCGCACACATCTAACAAGTGACTGCACAACATATTCAGTCCTGTCAACTAATAGAACATACGTAAAGCAAACACTACGTCTTGCCAATGTCCCCTCTTCATTTTCGGGGTTTAACTTTGCCCAACCTGGGGTGTGCTACAGACTTACCTCCACGTGGTGCACCCTGGACAACGCATACTCATGCAGCAAAAAAGTCAATAAACCGGCAGTTGAACTCTGAAANTTTTCCCACTGATGTTCCTCTCCCTCTGTGAAGCCTGAAGTCAACTAAAGGGCTAATGATAATTATTAAAAAACCTGCCATTTGATATAAAGAAAAAAATTAATACATACATCGCACAACATTGCCTAAAGGATACAATTCTCACGGTCAATCAATCAAAGCTATCTGCACATACGATCCTCGCAGAATAGAGAAGCATAAACCTTGTTTTACTTGTTGCCCGATTCATTACTCTCACGCCTAACCGAATCCCCATCAACCATCCAACCCAAAAACCCCACCCTCCAACCTTCCACCGTCCAACCATCCACCCCACACGAACTCCCTTCTCCTTAGTTATCGCTGTGCTTTCTCCTCCACCCTATCACAACGCTTCACAATGAATAACTCTTCACCACTCTTTGCCCTTCCTTCCCCAATAATCATTCAACTTTTACTTCACTCATTTCAGACAACTCAAATTCGATAACCTACCTCCTCTCTCTTGGCTTCCAGCTAATAGCGCTAGCTTCAGCAACGTTGTCACATCTAGGCCTTGTCCTGTCTGTAATCTCGTTGCAGGTAAAAAATCTAAAAATTGATATTCAAATGTCTACTCGATCCAGTTGAAGACAATGCACAATAAATAAGGTGAAGTTATCGAATTAACCGCACACATCTAACAAGTGACTGCACAACATATTCAGTCCTGTCAACTAATAGAACATACGTAAAGCAAACACTACGTCTTGCCAATGTCCCCTCTTCATTTTCGGGGTTTAACTTTGCCCAACCTGGGGTGTGCTACAGACTTACCTCCACGTGGTGCACCCTGGACAACGCATACTCATGCAGCAAAAAAGTCAATAAACCGGCAGTTGAACTCTGAAATCAAACGCTCATGGCCCCATTCTATGTCATATTCGACCACTTTCACAGTTCTCACCTCAGCTATCATCTACCTTTGTGTCAAGCGCTTTCACATCTCTAAAACATCCCTCCGTTCAACACCCATGTCTACAAATTTTCCCACTGATGTTCCTCTCCCTCTGTGAAGCCTGAAGTCAACTAAAGGGCTAATGATAATTATTAAAAAACCTGCCATTTGATATAAAGAAAAAAATAAATACATACATCACACAACATTGCCTAATGGATACAATTCTCTCGGACACTCAATCAAAGCAATCTGCACATACGATGCTCGCAGAATAGAGAAGCATAAACCTTGTTTTACTTGTTGCCCGGTTCATTACCCTCACGCCTAACCAAATCCCCATCAACCATCCAACCCAAAAACCCCACCCTCCAACCTTCCACCGTCCAACCATCCACCCCACACGAACTCCCTTCTCCTTAGTTATCGCTGTGCTTTCTCCTCCACCCTATCACAACGCTTCACAATGAATAACTCTTCACCACTCTTTGCCCTTCCTTCCCCAATAATCATTCAACTTTTACTTCACTCATTTCAGACAACTCAAATTCGATAACCTACCTCCTCTCTCTTGGCTTCCAGCTAATAGCGCTTGGTTCGGCAACGTGCTCACAACTCGGCTTTGTCCTGTCTGTGGTCCTGCTCCAGGTAAGGAATCTGAAAAGTGGCATTCAAATGCATCTTCATTCCAGTTGAAGACAATGCGCAATAGATAATGTGAAGTTATCGAATTAACTGCAAACATCTGACAAGTGACTGCACAACGTACTCAGTCCTGTCAGCTAATAGAACATATGCAGAGCTCACGCATTCTAGGTGCCTCCACAGAAGAGGAGGGGTGTGCTGACTGGTCTGCTCTCGATTTTGGTCCAACACGAGGCCCGTTACTTCCACTTTCCTCACCCACACACGGCAACATTGGGGCACTTGACGGACCTGAAAATAGTAACCACGATTAGTCCATACGTCGAATAAATGGAATGATTTATAATGAATCAAGTGCGTTGAACGATATTATTAGCTCCACGTTTTGCAACCTTGGCAGCATTTACTCAGGCTATAAACCAGAAGTCGATCGCATTCGACCATCAACAGACTTTATGTCATGTTCAGCCACTTCCACGGTACTCAACTTTCTTGTTTCTGCCTTTTGGTCTTTTGCTTTTTCATATATGTATCACTCTTCTGTTCCCTTTTTCGAATTTTTGCGAAATTGATGTTCCTGTCCTCTGTGATGCCCGAAATCAACTTATGAGCTATTGATAACTGTCATAAAGGCTGTCATTTGATAGAAATAAATCTTTAGAAATTAGGTTAATATATGACCATTGAATTCATATTGAATCAAATATATATATATATATATATATAGTCTGCAACATATTGAAGATTTATCTTTTCTGATTGACCTAGGAGAGGTCAATGCTCTTAATTAAAATAATCGGAGCAAAATTATTGATAGTGGATTTTTGCGTGTTAGAGTAACATATTTTTAAACAAAAATCTTGTAATTATTGCATTAAAATTATTGAAAACGCTAACGAACCATGTGATGCTAAAAGAGATTCAAATGCGTCCAATGGTTCAATAATTAATTCAAAAATGAATTTTCTCTGGTAGAAAATGATTTAATTCAGCTTATGCCAATAGATAATTTGAACGCTTTCCCTTGCATACTAAGAGTAATATTGATCATCGCCATCTTTTTTTGAAAATTACGAACACTATCATCTTTCACTGAGTGAATCTTTTTTATCCTATCTTCCAATTTTAATTAGTTCCTTTTAACGTTAGCTCATACTATTTCTTTAAGTTTCTTGAGTTAACAGAATGTGCCAAACGCAATAGTAAACAAAGTTCGTGAAACTATTGCTTCAAACGTATTAAACTTACAAGCATCGAACAAATTCTGATAACGCACACTGATAGGATATTGACATGTAGTTTATTTTTCAAATAGCAATTGCACGAGACAAGCATAATTCACTTAGCTTTTCACGCACTAATTCAAACACAACCTCAAGTGAACTCAAAAAAGCAAAATAGCTTCTCTTCTCGAGAAACTACCACGCGGAAGAAAAGTTATATTTTTCTAGTTTACAGTTGAAAGTTCCTTCAAAATGCCTTGAATGACTGTTACCAAATAGAGAAAATATTATCGGTATTTATTAGAATTTGGCTTATTAAAGGCGTCAGATCTTTTTGTTTCATTTAGACCATTTGAATATTTTCGCTTGCAAACCTTATGTAGCCTTGTTCCCCATCATTCTTATTTGAAAATTACGAACACTGTCAACTTTCATTAAGTCAATCTATAATTTATCCTACTTTCTAATCTTGACTAGTTCATTTTGTAAGTAGCTCATACTTTTTGTGCATTTTTAATAAAAATTTCTTGGGTTTACTAGAGCATGTATAGTTCAAAACGTTGGCATCGAAAAGCAAGCAATTGGAATTAAAATTAAGGCTGCCAATTGGATTATGAATTTTCCATAGGTGAGCAATTCTATTTTACCATCAACATAAGCACTGTTTTGCTAGCATTAAGACCAATATCTAATTTCTGATTTCTATAAATTTCGTGAAAGATGGGTGGTTGAAATGCCAGATTATCTGAATTTCAACCATACAACTGGAAACAAATTAGGTATAAATCTTTGTAAAGTATCTACAGAATCAGCAATGGCGGAAACAGCAATATACCGTATCTTGTGAACTGTGACCTTTTACGCTTTCCAAATGTATAAACTAAGAGCCATACAACTTTTTGACTAAGCAAACATAGTATAATCAAACGGAAGCATTATTTCATTGCAATAAGTGGCAATAATTTTATAACTAAATACTTACTTGGATAATTGGTACCATCATTTTGTTTGTTCATGCTTTCGATCTAATTTTCCGTAAATCAAAAATAAAGATGCTAAAACTATACAAAAGGTGTCATTGTGAATAAATAATGGTCACTGTGCCAGAAACAGAAATAAGGGCAAATCATAACTTCCACATACCTATCGTATATCTCAATTACGTATTATGTGCGCAAATTATTTAAAATTTGAATGAATAAATCAGTATCAAGTGGAGATTTAAAATGTTCACGAATTAATGGAGTCTACTTTGCAGAGTTTAACTGAGTAGTGATCTTGGTGATAATTCGTCTTTATAAGTAGTATGCTAATAAGCCGAGATGATTATAGATTTCCTTGGAATAAAATGCATATTCAGATGTCCTTTCATTCGTATTTGAGGCTTAGTAACTTGGAAAAAGAATTTTTAAATTTGTTCTCATGATTTATAATGATCGAAGTGGTTAATTCAACATCTAAATTAGTTTATACCAAAACACATCATCACTCAGGGAAAAGGGTACGTGAGGATTTCATCAGTGGAGGATTGGAATTTGGAGTATCACACAATATCTAGGATGTCATAGAGCAGAATTGGTAAATTTTCCTTGATCGCAAACTTTTCTTTCTACTGTTATCTAAAGACACAAGTGATTGTTCAAAATTTCCACGTTCCAATGCTTTCTAGGGAAAAAAATTTGAAATTTTTTCCATCAGATCATCTTTTTGAATGCCTTAAAGCATGCTGAAGTGCCTTTGGCAGTTTATAAACTAGGAAATATTTCCTTTGTGCCAAGAAGAAAATGGGGCCATACAGCCCGTAACTCTTCTGGCGACGTATTGAAACCGAGAGGTGAAGATGTCTGGAAAATTTGTCATGGTGTCAGGAAGATACAGCAGGTCAATCTGACTTGAGCCTTCTAAATGCGGATTGGTTGAACGAAGTGAACTGTCTGAAGCCGATCAATCACTTACTTGCCGAAAATTAAGATGTGACTAAAGTGATGGAATTGAAATAACCTCGAAGGAGGTCAGAAACAGAAGCACAACTTACAAAAAGATTTCCGGTGAACCTGTTTGCGAAGCAGGTGTGAGAATCGAATTTACTATTGGACCAACTGAAGATGAAGTGAACCTAATGGAAAAACCACCTTCATTTTCATGGGCAGATGCAGGAAAGTAAAAGCAAGCCTAAGTCATGTCCTATCCAAAAACCCTGTTTTCCACACTGCCTTAAAAATAACATGGTCTCTAACACCCGCATCCTTCTCTAAATTGACAACGGCATTCTCTGTTTGCACGAAAACAAAATACCAGTGCCTGTTTATGTGCCATTTCCCCAAAGTGTTTGAGTGCAGTCCTAGGTGATAATCACCATCCTTTGCTTCTGTCGTAGAAACTATGTTTGCAGCTTTCGACGATAGTACTTGTCCTTTGAGGTTGAGTTTATCAGAGGAGGCTTAACTACAAACAGAGGTGTGGTGAATATTTGACCTCCAACACAGACACATACAGAAGCCTATGCCAATGTACTAGATTTCCGTTTGGAGTAAAAGCTCTCTTAGAAGAAAAGGACAAATGAACCAGAGAGAAGAAATGCAAGAATTTGTTCTACTCACACAAGCTTTTGTTTTTTTTTGAAATACAGTATACGGCTTTTTATGAAGTACTACTGGCCATTGGTAGAGGAGTAGCACTATTCTCTACTGTGGTAGTAGAGTTATAAAGTCTTTTCTGTCCACTCAGTACTACAGTCAACACTTGACTCATACGAGGAAAAAAGAGCTGCAGTTACCCCCACAAGACACTTTATTAACTGTAACGTGATTTTTTATGAAGTTGTTGTCATTTTGGTCGGTAAAAATATAGACGATTGATAGCAGTACCGAGACAAAATTGAACAACAGAGTCATTGAGATTTCCTTTAAATTTTATCATATAATTTAATACGTAAATGCAATACTAGCAAACAACAGGCCTAACCAAGTTGACGTCGTACGATATTATTATTTCGAATTGCATGCTTTATGATATTTATCATCAACCCTTAAACTTTGACTTCAGCTTTCCCCATGGATGGGGTACATATATAGCAGTTAATTAATGGCAGTTCATTAGCTGTCTTCTCGTTTCCCAGTATCTCTGGGTTTCCGTCGTTATTTTTAGGGCTAAACACCGAAACAGGTGGGTCTTCTCCATTTCCTTCAGTAGATTACAAAAGGGGCCTGTTGGTTGAGTGTATGCTCCTAATCTGTGAAGGTGTTTTGCCAGGCAATCGTGTCCGGTACGTAGTCTAAACTCAGCAACGGCTTCGATTCTTGGCCAGTCGGCTACGTCGGAGAGTGCCAGCGTCGTACAATATTTCAAGGCTGTGTATAAGGATGAAATTGTGGAAGACGATTTTCTTTCAATATCGACAATCCACGCTACAAAGAGAGTAGAAAGAAGTATGCTAATCCATATCGGTAGAAATGACTTCACTCACCCAGACATTCATTAGAGAGGTACCCTCGGAATTTAAACAGTTCAATTAGTAAAGTTCTGCTTGATATCTATAAATAACATATTATCTTTGAATGAGAAAGGAAGTTGAACAAACAAAGATCATCAAGGTGAGGAATATCTTCCACTATTAAAGTGAAATACCACTTGACCTGTAAAGGTGGTCAAAACCATTACATGAAGTCCGGATTCATAGTCGATGCCCCCAACTTAATCTACGTAGCTATCCCCCTACTTGCAAACAGAGAACATTCATAACTGGAACCTGTTCAACATAGTCACGTCGTTTAATACTGTGTCATTTACTACCCGTTAGAAGCTGCTAGCCAACTGGACGTATTTGAGGACATGTGAAAGTCAATCGTACTAAAACTTGCTTGCATAAAAGGGATAGATTAATTACCCAAAGGAGTAGTTATCACAACGCTCTATCTGTAAACTAGATCAACCTATAAGGCTAGAAAGCTGATTAATCACCATAACAACCAATTGGATGGTTGATCCATTTTCAAATTCTCATCCACCTTGTGTTTTCATCCCACAATCCTCTAGCCTTGGTTTCATTGGCATTATTCAGCCGGATTAGTATTTGGAAATCCCTTTTCATACAAAGAAGGAAACCTATTTTTTTGTATTTTTAACGTTTCAAATATCTTGCCTTATGTCATAACTCAACTCCATTTGTCTCCTTCTGAAAATCTATTAGGTGATGTACAAAGCCCAAAAGAGAAGAATTCTGTTAATTTAAACTCCTTTGAAATTTCTTATTGCAGCTCTTGAGGATTATTGTGAGCATTTGAACCAAACCATTTCTCATATGAGGATAAGATACTAAAAGCCATGAACTTATAAGTGCCTGGGTCATTCATTGTCAAATTTTATTCTGAGAAACCAGTCACCTATTAAAGCAACAGATATCGTCCTCTAACTCTTCTAATTTTTGTTAATAATCTTTCAGAATAATATCTTTTATTTCCTTTGCTATCATTTTATTTCGTCATTTGCATTCTAAAAACTAGTTCCTCAACTTACAAACTATATCAAGCTTTTTGGTATCTCTTCAGTAATTTTTCAATTATTTTGTTTTTTGTCACTTATTATTTCTTAGAGCAAAAACCTTACCATTTCAATATAGCCCAATCTACATAGCAGAAGTAAGCGAGGCATTAGGTGACCAAATTTTATTGGCCCTTCTATATGCTACCCCAGAAGGTCACTGATCCTAACAGGTTATAGAAAAACACAGGTACTTTCAAATGAAAGGCTTTGAATAATATCTGTTTTTATGATTTAATCTTTTCTCAATATATTAATAAAAATTTCTTGCAATTGAGATAAAAATGACTGAATACAATAGAAAACATCGGCAAATAGGGTGATTAGTAGAAAAGTAATTGTAATCGAATGTACTTTTAGCTTTCATTATTTCATTCAACAAATTCTAGACATAAACTTGCGAGGCATCAGACCAATCAGTCTAGACGGACTAACATAATGCATAAAAAAATATTAATCTCACAATGAAGCTCATGAGGATTGTATAGATACCAAGGAAACATTTTCAAAATACAGTTTTCTTAAAAGGCGGAGACTCCTAATTAGAAGTTCTCTTGAGAAATTCATTTAACCCTTCCAAATGATAAGAACCGCTATCATTTGCAAAGCATCAGTATATGTGCAAAGTTTCAATGATTGCTTGTGAAATATAGTAATGACACCAATGATTCAAGAGTTGAATATCATTACAATTGCCGAAACGTCTTTTTACAACTGTAATTCAACCTTGCAGTGGACCGTATATTATGTATTTAACAATATTTTATTAAGTTCTAGAATGTTTGAGGCCATATATAATATAGTTATTGCAAGTTCAATTTCTAAATGTAAATATACAGTAACATTTCGATCAAATGAAATCTCATTTTTTCATCGATGCCTCTACAGCCAAGTCTGAGCAAAATTTAAATTTTTATTGATGTTATTAATATTTTAAAGCTAATAGAGACCAGGAAATTGGTAAATTTAATAGGTTGTTTTAAACAAGGCCATTGGGGTCTAGCCCGGGAAAACAATGTTGCCTGATCTACACTTGGCTTTTTACTAGTGATGTCATACGAATGTGGTGCAAACGGCAGAGAACTTGAAGACAAGGTACTGCATTTTTATAGAATATTTTATTTAACTTGCAAGTTCTCATTTGATCTCATTTTATTTCATGTACTAGTTTTTTATTATCAAGTTGTTTGATATATGTTCCTTGTGATCTAGCTCTATTGTGGTGTATTTAACATATAAGTAGCATTAATGCAGTCTTATCCTTGTATACTACGTTAGTTTTCAAATCTGCAAATTGATGGTTCAGAAAGTAGAAAATACGTTCCTCCGCATTTGCGGGGCGGTTCTGATCCCAATGAAGGCTACAACAATGACCATCCCCGTGTTGGACGCGGAGGATTCAGCCGAGGTGGAGGTCGCTATAACTTTGATGATGGGTTTAGTCGCGGTGGTAGGGGTCGTGGAAGTAATTTTGGCTATGGTAGCCAAAATGGTGGCAGAGGTGGTGGGTTCAATATCTATGATAGAGGGTTTCGCCGCAATGAAGGTTCTTATGGCGGTCCAGCAAGGCGAACATTCGATGATGGAAGTTCAGTTGATTGGTCTAAACAATTACCTCCCAATGAGCGTCTGGAGAAGGAACTATTTCACAAGGTTAATACCGGAATTAATTTTGATTTGTACGATAATATCGAAACCAATGTCTCCGGTCCCAATGTAGATGATTTAATCCCAATTCAATCTTACGACGATGTTTCACTGACTGTTATCGCGCGAGATAATATCGCCCTTGCTCAATATTCTCGGCCGACACCAGTTCAAAAATACGCCATTCGAATTATTTCTATGGGAAGGGATCTGATGGCCTGTGCTCAGACAGGTTCAGGAAAGACGGCTGCTTTCTTGATACCAATTTTGAACAATATGTTTGAACAAGGACCAGGGAATTCAATTATTGCCTGTGTAAGTTGTCTTTTTGCGTTAATATCTGTTTAGGCTGAATCAAATCATAGGAAACAGTTTCCTGTCGGTTTAATTCTTGCGCCCACTAGAGAACTTGCTTCTCAAATCTATGATGAAGCAAGAAAATTCTCCTACAGGTCTAAAGTTCGACCTTGTGTTGTTTATGGCGGTGCTGATATGCGAAGGCAATTGCAAGAGCTTTCAAACGGTTGCAATTTGCTCGTAGCTACTCCTGGACGCTTGTTGGATGTTATCGAGCGCGGAAGAATTGGTTTGAATCATGTTAGGTAATTGTATGTTTTTTCTTTATTCCCTTTAAGATTCCTCGTTTTGGATGAAGCTGATAGAATGCTGGACATGGGCTTTGAACAACAAATTCGCCGTATTGTGGAGCAAGATCATATGCCTCCTAAAGAATCGCGACAAACTCTCATGTTTTCAGCTACTTTTCCCAAAGAAATTCAAATTTTGGCTCAGGACTTTTTAAATGAATACGTCTTTTTGACTGTTGGTAGAGTGGGGAGTACTAGTGAGAACATCACTCAGACCTTACTTTGGGTCCCTGAGAGTGAGAAAAGAGATGTTCTTGTGGATTTGCTTGCTGATTCTGGTAGGTTTACTTTTCTATTCTTACTTTTATTTAAATCAAAGAACCGACGGACAGAACTCTCGTTTTTGTGGAAACCAAGAGAGGTGCTGACGCCTTGGAGGATTACTTATTTCAAGAGAAGTATTCTGTTGCAAGCATTCATGGCGATAGAACCCAGGAAGATCGAGAAGTAGCCCTTAAATACTTCCGCATGGGTGTTACGCCCATTTTAGTTGCAACTGCAGTTGCTGCCAGAGGTTTGGACATCCCTGACGTCAAAGTACTGCGCACATTTTGCTCTTATCTCTGTTCCCATTTTAGCACGTTATAAACTACGACCTACCTTCTGATATTGAGGAGTATATCCATCGAATCGGCCGTACTGGGAGAGTGGGTAATTTAGGTAAAGCCACATCATTTTTCAACGATAAAAATCGCAATTTGGCTCCGGATTTGATTGAGAGGCTTGAGGAGGTTAATCAATGCGTACCTCAATGGCTTAGATCCATTAGTGATGAACCATCCAGACAACAGTCGTCTTGCAAAGGAAGACCTAGACGGTAAGTTGTCGGTCTCCTTTCCTCCCTTTCACTTTATTGGAACTGAATTAAGCCTTAGTGGTCCTTTTTTATAGTGGTGGTGGTTTCGGCGGCCGTGATTATCGTCAACAGCATACTCGTGGCGGTTTCAGTTCTAGCGGTGGTCAATTTGGTGGTTTCGGTAGTCGATACGGCGGAGGTGGTGGAATGGGCGGCTTTAACGATGGAGGATATTCTAACTTTGGAGGGCCATCGCGTGGTCGCGGCGGTGGTGGTCATACTGACTGGTGGGCAAATGACTAGATATTTTTATACACCCAATGATTCGTCGCGTACTCTCCTTGTGTGTTTGAGCTAATTTTCACACTCAACGTGCGCTCTCCTTTCTCGTTCACCTCATTTTTATCACTCAACCCTTTCCTCATTCTTCGCCTCTTATCATTAACCTTCCCCTCATGCTTTGCAAAAAATTCTGTTCTCTATTGCCTCAGAGAGTGCGTGTGCGAGTCTTTAGTTGAAAAATTATTGGCCTGCTGGTCTGCACCTACCTATTTCTTAGCATTTAACACATTGAAGTTATCTTTTTTTATCGAAAGGTTTTAAATAAAAGGGATGGTTGGTTAACTATCTGTTATCTTCTCTCTTGTTCCAGGTGGAGGTAAGTTATACTTGGCTATTTCCCAATATATTTTTTAGCTATATGTTTTGTGTTTGGAATTGGCAAAAAATTTTTTCACTGTTTTGATCTCTGTTCTAGTTTACTTCAGTTTTTGATTAGGACTCACTTCGAACATATTTTTTAATTCCTTGAATAGTTATCCATTTAACGTTCGTCTAATGTGTCGATTAATTTTAATTCCAGTTGATGGAATCGAAGTTTTTGTTTAACGATGATTGAAACGTTGGTCTCATCAGGATGCTATTTGATGTTTCTTTTCGATGTTGGAAATCGACGGTGTGTGTGTGTGTTTATGTTTTATAAACTAGGTTGTCTGAGAAATTATTCTGATGCAAGTACTTACCATTCTCAAAAGAAATATTTCTGTGTGGGCTTTGGAACCGTTTTGTGTGTAGTATCCATTTTCGACGGATCTGGTAGTGTTGCTTTTGTTGTTTGGATATCCGAAGCTCTTATTTTCATAATATTAGTTTTTGGACCTTCTGCTGGACTGGTGATTGTCAAAGTGTAGTTTCTTATTTAAGTGCCGTTCGTGTCCATTCGGTGTCGCGTCATCAGTGTCATAAGGAAATTAGTGTTGCAGTTCACTCATAAAATAAGCGCATCAACTCTAATTTATTGAAGAATTTCGATTTCTTATCACGTTTTCATTTTGAATAATTCGTTAGCTGTTTTTATGTGTTTACTCGTTTCCCTTAGTTTTTGTGTTGGAAGTGAGTATCTGATAACTAGCACTTCCTCCGCTGTCCATGTTTCTTTGAATTTTTCACTCGCTGTTCTTTCAGTGCGTCCGTTCCTTATGGAGCTCGAGAAGACCCTCCTGGCCCTATTGGTTTATCAAGAAAAAATTCAAATCGATTCTTCTACAACAATCACATTACAATTGGTGGGAAGTGATCTAGCTGGTAGGGAGAAGGCTTGTTTGTCTTTACCTGCTGCCCACTCTTGCATGTTAGTTTAAGCTAATACAGTCTATCCACACCTTTTTGTCTGTGTTTGTTTTGTTTGCTATAGCCGTTCTCAATTGCCACCCAGTTGACCCAGTTTGAATTTCTCTTTGTAGAACTTCTGTTGCTGAATTGCAAGAATGATGGCAGTTTTATAAATACAACTATTGCGGTTGCACGTTGTAGTTTTAATGTACATTAGTTCCGTGCTGGGGTGATTGATTGCAGATCAATAGGCGCCTGTTTCGATCCTTTTATGTTCGCATGGGAATAACCGAATCGCAATAGTTAATGATAATCCACTTAGGAATGAGTGAATTAGGACCCTTTTCAGAATTTTCAAATTCCTTTCCCTTGGCTCTTTTATTTGGGAAATTTTATCCATTGTTACTTATAGGTTGAGGCGGGAGCTTCATATAGTTCGAATTTTAGTTATATCAAAATTTGATTAAAGTTCACTTTGAATGAACTATTATCTTGTTAATATGTGCGTTCTTATCAAATCTTTAAGCGGTTAGAAATAAATGCTGTATGTTTATCGTTAATGTATGTCTGGGCCAATTAATTAAAGGTGGAATGCAGATCTCTTAGGACCTAGAATGAAACAGGTCCTGGTTCTAAAAGGCAGGAGCATAAAGGCTAATCAAATTCTTACACTAGCAAGTCAATAGGTGTATTCTTAATATTTAACATTAATGGTTACTCATGGAAATCGAATAATTAATCATTACGATAGTCACGGTTTTTTGGAGAATAACATGGCCGTAATCGTGAATTTTTCGAAAACCTCAGAGAGAACACTTTTACTGGGCCGCATCTTAGTGTTTCTGCATTATTTGGCTACGGTATGTAAGCTATCGATAAGTTCCTTTAAAGACGTAGTGATGCTGGAGTAAATGTTTTCTGCTAAAGGAGTGGCATTCTCTAGTTTGGACCTTTTTAAACAGAGCAGTTGACTCAATTTCAATCAATGTGGGTAGGCGGGTTTTGAATCCGGTTTATACTGCTCCACTTGTGTCAAGAAGCCGTATGTGAATTCAATGTGGAACTTCAAAAGAATATCAATTTATGAGCTGTGTGGAAGGCAAGATGTGAAATACTTGATTAAACTTTATTGTTAAGGTTTACTAAAGTTGTTTTCTATAAAAGATGCTGAAGTTGCTCCCTGAGTTTCGTTTAAGCCTTCAAGTGCTTATTTATTGGTGGAGAGTATTTCTTGATGAATGCGGCCACGTCGAATTTACGCTTGCAGCCTGTAAAGTTCATGAATCGAATTTTGCCGAATACTGGTCGTTCCATCCAGCCCTGATCGTGGATACCACAAATAGACCACATCACTCCTGAAACGAAAGATGAATTCAGTAGTTGTAGACTTTAATTTGATGGAGTCGTCGTCCTACTCTAGGATGGTTAATATGAACTCGAAAACACTAATAGAAATTGTCATAATCATGGCGATATACTTGTGCATATGCAAAAGATTGTGGCGCTTTGTCAAATGTGAAGGTCTGAAAAGTCAGGTCATGAGACCGTTGCTCATAGTCAATAGGAGGAATTATAGAATATAAATATCTCCGGAATTGCCTCCAGCACAACTTCAGTGTCAACGTGCTCAACTCCGAAGTTCAGCACATGACACAATTAGTGAATTATTTTAGGACATGAGGTGACAGGCTGAGTTCTCCCCAAGGTAACTTCATCGTGCTGAACCCTACCCTAGAGAGGTTTTTTAAGTCATGTTCCTTAATGAAGTTGCCAATTGTAGATTCGAAGACTGAGCGACCGCTCTTAGAAACGAACCAATATTGACATTAACTGCTTCAAAGGTTTGTTCTTAATATGCAGAAAATAACCAAAATGTGTTAAATCGCGATCTAATAGGCCTAGCTTAGGTAAAATGTAATTTCGACAACGCGGAAATATCAAAAAAAAGAATTTTTTGATGAACACCTGATTTGGTTGGAAGTAACTTACATCAAGACTAAAATCCCATGTGTTAGTTCATGAGAGGAGGATCTTATAAGCATAATTTTATCGCTTAAAAAGATAAAGAATATTTCCTTTAAAAGACGTGAATGCCGTCCAAATATGATTGAAAATGACGAAAGACCTCTTATCAGGTGTCACTAACTTGTAAGAAGTAATTGACATTACAACTGCGCAACCGGATGAGATTCGCGATCTTCCCGGTTTCTTAATAGTTCTGGAAACGCAAAATACACCGAGAGTATTTATTATTAAATAATTTCTTCTATGAAAATGACCCTCCAACTAATCACAACAGGTGGTATCCAGAGAAGAATTTGAACTCCAAAATGTGTGCATGGTAACGCCTGAAACTCACAGGCATCTCAATTTAATATACAAAAATCTATAAGCTATAATGCATTTCTTCCACATCAGATTATAGATACAATCCTTAAGCAAAGGAACCTGTTGTTAAAGGTGCTCCCTGAATAGAAAATTCTTGGCCATTTGAATAAAATCATTCACCTAATTAAACGAAACTAGAGTTAAACCAATGTGCTAATAGATATTTGCCAAGGTAGAATATGATACTTTGAGCCTAAATAATTAAGACTCCATGCCTTCGATAGACAGTACTAAAATGAATTTAAATATGACTGCTTAGGATATCGGATCCGTTGACTCGCCTCCAACAAGGTTGCCGATTCTTTTGACTCAGTGGTGGAAAAATGCCAATGCCTTACCTCTGTACCTAAGAGACATAGTCTGTTTTCTTCCTAGTACTTCCTAGTACAGTTGCGTTTGCGGCTCTGAATAGGGTGCTTAGCCAACCAGGCTTATTGGCTAGGAGATGAGCACTGTGGGTACACCAGCTAACAGTGGGAATCACCTACAGTGTCTGGCAGTTTTTTCTGCCTTTAGGAAGGCTTTTGGCTTGGTCGCTAATTCTCATATAGAAGGTATTCAAAATGACTCCCTCAAACTAATGCTAAATAGAAGAGTAATGCAAATCACAAAAAAATGTCCACAAAAGTGGCAGTGGAGAGGATGAAAGAAAAAGTAAGGAAATCGGAACTTTGGTAAACAGTATTCATTTGCTCCGAAAAAAGTGTTCAACGTACAAGGTTATTCAGTAGTTCGAAATCAATTTTATTTCCAATTTAAAGGTTATTTTCAAAACTAATAATATTGGAGAAAACAAAATAACTTGTAATATCGTCATAGAAAAAAGGCATTTAATAATTTGTGTACTTTCACCTTCTTCTTGGGACTAGACATATAAATAAACGGAGGAGTTACGCACTAAGGCAAGTAAGAGAAAGACATGGTTCTAGAAAGGCATTAATGCCAAACTTTAGGGACAAAAAAGATTTCGATGAGACAATAAAGCATCTAACTTGATTAGCTTTCCGTGATTTTCCGTGCAAAACTCAAAAAGAGATAAAAATTTATTTGTTTCAAATGGCAAGCGTTTTGATAGTTATCATTAGCCATTTAGCTGACTTCGGGCTTCACAGATAGGAGGAGGAACACCAAAGTGACAAAAAGTTGATTCACATAGGAGGAGGAACACCAAAGTGACAAAATTCCGAGAGGGGAGACAAAAAAATGATTCACAGATGTAACAAAGACAGACAAGAGGCAGACAAAAGGTAAGATGACTACTGTGGAAGGGGTCGAATATGGCACACAGTGGAGTGATGGTAGTTTGAAGTCAGAAGTCAACTACCAGTTAATAGACTTTTTGCCGTATGAGTATACGTTGCCCAGGGTGTGCCACGTGGAGGTAAGTCTATCGCACACCCCAAGAGATAAAAATAAATCCTACATTATGACAAATGAAGGCTTCCTCCAACTTCTATATGATTTTAAAGGATATGGAGGTAATTAATTTACTCTCTGAATTTGTGCTGTCTAGCTCTAATTCTCATGTCCTAAGCATGCGATTTAATGGGGTCTCCTATGTCCTAATTTCATTATTCAGTTCCGTCTACTTGAAATTGTATTACCACCAATGACCCCTTTTTGTCAATGCAAGCAGTCTTGCTCAAGAATGCATTTCTTTGAGACTTTATTAACATACAAAATAATGGCAATTACCTTCATAATTAAAAAATTACTTAATCTTCCCCCAAAAGATCAACTGAATTACCATGAGCTATGACCTCAATTCTTACAGCTCGATAAAACTAATCAAATTGAAATAAGATAATTGTGAAAACCATTGAACAACGAACCTCCAAAAGGATTTTTACGAAGATCAGATACAGGGCAAATGGGCAATTACGCAAAATCGATGCTCACAGCAATGCCTATTCAAGATAAAGAGGCGCAAGTAAAAAATTGTCGAGTTTACATAATATTTGGGGTTTGAGACTCACTGATCTAAAGTTTCGCCAGTGTAAGTGGACTGAGGCAAAGTAAGAGTCTACTATTTAAATTTAAGAAAATCAAAAACGAATATCTCGCCATTTGGGACAATTTTTAGAAGACACAAATGCGATTATAGATTTGTGACCTGTCCTACAAGAAAAAATGTCAAAGTCAAAGATCTTAGAAAATGCGGTTGGAATATCCCAGGAAATTATACAGACGAGTGAAGTAACATTTATTTTTAAAAAAACAAATTATCTAGTTACTGTTTAGTTTTTTGTAATAAAATTGAACACGAAAAACAATTCAAAGGTGGGAAATTAAAGTTTTGAACGCTGAATGGAGGAAGAATATACGCTATAATCTTCCGTTATTCTCTCGAGATTACTTCAATGTCAACATTGCGAATGACACTCTAGTGTGTAGGCATTTTAGACGCCACTGTCATTTATTAAATTAGGAGCATATTTATCAATAGACCTTTTTGCTCCCCGAGCACATACTCCGTCGATGGCGCAAAGGCACTGATTTCTTTCTAGAGGTTACTCAAACCACCCACTATAGTTCCTATGGTTTTGAGTTTTTTGCATATCACTTAATTACCGTCTAATTATGATCAGCAATATCACAGTCAATTCTAAATAGAAAGTCAATGAAATCACATTTGAAAAATAGGGCTTTTAGTCCACCATATCATTACATTCAAACTATGGAATATCTTGAGAAAGATTATCATTTCTGAAGACTATCAAATGCCCCAATTTTAGAACATATTCAGCAATGGAAAATATCAAATAGCTTTAATCGAGATTTGTTTGATGTAGGTAAATAGCCCAATGGCCTAAAATTAGGTTAAAATGACCAAACAGAGAAAAATGATTAGTGTTTATTCAAGAAAAACGATTAACCGCATTACAAACAACCCTAAATGAAAAGCCAAAGGACCTACACGTGTAAAGAATTAAGTATGGCATACGCATGGAAGCCCTAATTTAGAAATTCAGCATTGCCAGAAGGCGTGCACGCATGGAGCGCCCTAATTGAACCATGATTCACCAGTGTTTTAGCATTTGATAAATTTTCCGCGATGATTGGCTAGCCTCCAAGGTCAAAAGGCACTAATTGGTCTGTCGCATGTTTACACACTCTACGTGGCATGATTGAAACGTGATGAGAAATGGGCTGATTTTAGTTTGAAATTGGAGAAATGTTTGAGCCTACTTGAAACTTATTGTTGATTGAAAAAAAAGTGTGTTAGTGTTCAATGAAAGCCAAAACATAAAGTAGTGTGAATAAAAAATGAAGATGTGTTCCATGATTAAAGATATTTAGAAAGACAAAAAATGAATTGAATCAAGCATGAAGGATAAATAGGCAAATATGATTAAAGAGGGAGTTTCATGAAGAAAACTCGCTAACAAAACATTGAACAAATATGCTACCGCAATCCTTTCCAACAATTATTTCATTGGGTCTAATTGGAAAAGGACCTTAGTTTTACCCCCATGACCATTAAGCCATCAACGACCTAATTCCCTCTGCGTACCTGTCCTTAAAAGCGACTATGTTTACCGTCGCATTATTATAAAATACAATTTATTTGGCTTGTTCTAATTAAGTTCTGACCATGAAATGAGACTGCAGAAATTCAGGATGGTTATCAACTGGTGGCCTTTTAACTCCAAAGATATAAGTAGCGCCTTCACAGAGTCTTTCAAGCCTCACTAATGAAGGTTGAAATGTGGAAGAAATTTCTTTCACATGAAAGAATTAAAATGACACCATGTATCCTTTCAGTAGAAATAATGTCTGCACAGTTCTACATCTAGGGCATTAAAAATGTACTTTACTGATTTTTTAAAATATCTTAATACTACCTATCCTTAATTTAAAAAGATATGAGAGAATTTCACAGACGTTCATGTTTAACAGCCGTCAAAGGTTTAAGGCGTTCTTCCACCTAGACGCTAATTACTCACGTATTTAAAGCACAGAATATAAATGTAAAAAATATACTTCAGTATTTACTATCAGCAAAAGTAAAAAAAGTAAATTAAATCTCAAGGACTGCTCATCGTAACATGAAACCTTCTTACTGAGTTCTGCAAATTAAAACAATTTCATAATCCCGGCTTACTTCTGGTTGGAAAAGGATGCAGATCAACCAAGGTGGCATGACTAAGCACGGAATTAAATCCATTATCCAGTAGCCGTGAATAAGACAGCACAAGTGTGACCATGATTATGGAAGTGAAATTATGAAGATCAAGCATTAGGACTCTACAAATTGAACCCCCCCCCTTTATGCGGATATCGGCTATTTGTTCCTCTCGAGTTCAAGAAAGGAGGGAGTTGTAAAGTACTGACTTCATAGTCCACTTGTGGTTGACCTTCCCTACTTTCATGACTTTTTGCAAGTGTTTGGGATAATTCCCCGTGTTTGAAACTTGTTCAAGCTCTTTACATCGCTATAGGCAAAAAAATAATGATAATTCTAATTTTTTTTACGGCGCAGTGTCGAGTTTCTTATTTTCTTTAAAGTATAACGATATCTAACTTTTATTGTAGGAGAAATTGTTCCAATTATTTGAGGCCGTCATTCGAGAGATAACCCTCTTTCCTGATTATTGTTTTTTTTTCATTTCATTAAGGATTCGATAATATTTCCATCGTGGGGACCCTAATTGTGACAATGGTGGCAAGACACCTAGAATATATTCTACCATGATGTTTGATCAGCACCTATAATGTTTACCAACTGCACGTAAACAATTAAGCAGATTACGTTTCACAATCTATGTGGTATCCTGGTCAAAACTATTTCCACTTCACAAAAGGTATCCACCAAGCATAGATGTATTGAACACAGTAATTTTTTAATGTCAAAATTAGACGCTATTCGAACAAGCTAACCACCCAGGGTCGACTAGAGAACAACCTGACGTAAAGGTAAAGAAACTGACATTTGAATGCCCGAAAGTTCTCTACTCTCGCGTCGAAAGCTGGATTCGAAGGGGCCATAAAGAAGTGCAAGGAAAAAAGGTATGCACCCAGTGTAAAGGCATTACCTTCTAAGTGATCGGCAGGTAAAGCGCTGTTTCTGAGCCAAATGTTCCGTTTGTCTAAATTAATTAGATGAGGCAGATGAACAGAGTGGTGGGCAGGGTTAAATCTGAGTTACTTCATTTATGCTGATTCAAGAATAGGAAAAATCAAAGGTCTCTGTTTTAAGACAAATGTATCTGTAAAACACCTTGACAGTAGATTATTGATTTCCGATTGAATACAATTAACAACCTAATATTTGATTGAATGTGCACTTCGAAGTAAATTAACGTGTTCATAAGTACTAAGTGTTAAAGTAATAGGAGCGTCTTTGGAAGCACGTGACATCAAAAAATAAGTAGGGAAAAAGTTTACCCAATATTCTGACTAAGACACAACAATCAACACGCCTGAAAGTCTCTGATTTCACACGGTTGTCACGGCCCACCTCTGGAGATTAAGAGTAAAATCAGTGAAGCAACCAACAACAAAGGAATTATTGAATCTTCGGCACAAAGATCAACAGAGCCTAATTTTGGGTTGTTCTAAGTTTTATTAACTAAAAGGCTTGGCAATTTGACTCAATGCAAGTCTTAAAGAGAACTTTAGTAAAAGAAACACCACGGATTCTTCTGAGATGAATGGTAAAGAAATTAAAATCCCGAAATGCCTCAAAATAATCCCTCTTTGCTGCAGCAAAGCAACAACTTGCCCGAATGCTATACGGTATGCCATTTTTATAAGCAAATAGACATGTCATAAAATTTGATCAAATTAACTAACCAACATATCCATTCGGATCAGTTCCATCTATAGAATATTTGTCATTAAGATATATTCCCAGTTTAAGAGCCTTCTCGGGACCACCGGCATGCCATTCAAGGATCTTCTTGGCCCAATACATCCTCAAGAATCCGTGCATTTTACCCTCCCACAGGAGTTGACGCTGAGCAGCATTCCAAAGTTCATCGCCCGTGGATGCAGACTCCATTTTCTCCTCGCTGTAGGATGGTTGACGTATGTCGTTAGAGTGCTTTCTCAGGGTCTCCTGTGCCCAAGACCAAGCACCTTTTGAAAGAGAATATCAGAAAATTATAAATTATTTATGGCTAACTCGCACCATTGACTAATAAAGGACCTGGCAGATTTCGATATTCTCGTCAAGGAAGCGCAATGAATTTTGGGGTCAAAAATTTAATAAGACCGACTCACTCCCATCTCACCAAGCCACTTTCATACTCTAAAACTCAAACAACCGTTATAAGTTTGAATCTAAAAATCACACTTGAACTTGTCCCGTGATTCGGATTAATTGGTCAGTGAAATTTGAAGATCTAATTCTGAATATATTCCTTTTTCGTTAAGATAGCCTCTGTTTGAAACAACTTAACTCGATTGATTACAAACCTAATATTCTGCCTCATCCTTTCCTTGAAGTAGGTGAGCTCGCACATTTTGAGGAGGCAGCAGCTCAGTCCATCTTCAACTACATATGTTGGAATCCTTAAGCCAGTCTCCTATTACAATAATTTTCTTCTTCATTATTATGCTAACTCTTAGTGAATTTGAAGTAAGCGAGGGTTCCTGTTATTTTGTTTAAATAATAATATAAATAAATAAGTGGTAACTGTAAACGTGAGTAAACTGGAATAAGAGTAGGTTTTTCTATCGATTAAATATTGATTAAATAGCAATAATTGTCGCATTCATATCGTTAATTGGAGTCAAAAGTACCACTTTGGATAACTTTGGAAATTCAGAAATGGATAGTAATCGATATCGAACGTTCAATTAGTGCTTACGAAAATCCTAAAAATTGCGATTTTCATCTAAATGAAAGTCATACACCAAATATATTAATTATAAGGTAATTGTGAGACAAGGTCCATTGAGAAACTACTTCACCAATAAAAGCACATACAGTGATTAAATAACATAAGTTACAGTAATCTGTCGTGTACACTTTGATCCGACATCACGATCATTGGCGCATCATACTAACCCTGTGTGCTACAGTCTTGACGAATGATGACTCTCAATAGAAACATCCAATTACTTCCAACATTCGAGAAAGTTACTCTCAATTATAATTCGATTATATTTTGCAAGCCTAAATATTACATCCCTACCACTTCATGCCTTATACTAAGGTTTCATTTCGTGAAAACAAGTAAGAAAACATTCTACTACTACTTCCGAATCCTTTGCATTGTAGACACTTCGATCCACTAATGAATATGATGACCTTTTCGAGCTCAATATCCACTGTGTGGTTGTACTACAAGTTCCAACATTCGAAGCAAAACAATCAGGCTGTTCCTGAACGGAGACTTTAAGAAAAGACTCTTGAAAATCTTCCCCCAATCTCACTACTTAAGTACACACTCAAGAAGAGAATCCACAACTTAAGGCAATTCCTATTTTATACCTCCTATCTACAATCTTCTCACTACAATCAGTGAGGAACTATTGCAGTTGGCTCACATCACTGCACCTCTCACACTTCATCACCACAACGATTTACCAAGTTATGCAATATTCAGCATCCACTTGAAGACTTTCCAATGTATTTTTAAGTGCTTAATGGCATCCATTGATCTGGATTTCATTCATACCACACCTTCTTCATATTCACCGGAATCATTTAAGCGTTAAAAGCTGAATATAACTCAGAAATGTGATAATGAGCATAATTCAGAATTTATCTACTTTTCTCAATTTCCACGCACCCTGACTCGTTACTGCACACAGGTTCAAGTATCGATGTTTGCTAGTCACTCATGAAGAAATTAGAATAGTAAGGCAGAGAATGAAGTAAGCAACAGCTATTGGAAGACTAATTACGTTAAAGGCGAAATTCATTGGCAGACTCCCGTTGTAGATTCGTGCGTAGGACTTGCATTTAGTAGATTCTTCCACTATACCAACTTCTCTTGATTTGGAATTAAAGCTTTGAACCATATTGTTGTAATATTAACGAAAATAAGTTATATGACATAGGTACTTGCCTTTAAGGGAATCATAGTGCTTGTTGTAGAAACAGAAATTGTCGGCAAGTTCACGTCGAATAAAAGCTTCTTCAATGAAGGCATCAACTGATTCCTTGTGTTGATTTTGTAGGAACCCAGCCTCCCAGAGACACCTCTGAGGTGATATATGACCTGAAATATTTATGCACATAAGTAGGAAAGCAACAAAAAGAAATCGAGCATTTCACAAAAAGTTGTGTGAGTTAAATTTGCGTCCAGCTGAAGTGGAGGTACCAATTTTGTAGACAAACTAATCAGCCTTACTTATGAATGGCAGATTTAAATAAATTCTCTTTTTTCAGGTCAAAATGTTCAACCCCAAAACCGACAGGAAATACGTCAGACAGACTTCCATGCTGTTTCTTTTCATCGGGTCTAGAACGCCAGTAAGGCTAACAAAGGCGTTACCAAAATTTATGCTTAGGTGATCAAAGTCCGCTAGTGGCAATATTGATATAAAAGATTTAGATAGGGTATTAAGAATTCAAATAATGGGACAAAATCAGAACGACCTGCAAATTCCCATGACAATGTACTGAAATCCCTAATTGAAGCAGACTCTCGATTAATTATGGAAGAATTATCGCATTTCCTTCTGGGTCAGTGGCCAAGCACTCATATTAACCTAAAGTGTAACGTAAAAGTGAATAGGATGGGAAGTCTGGTGCCACCAGATCAATCCTCCTCTGCATAACAAAGATGAGGGAAGAAACACATGTATTTCTCTGCTGTCGATGCTAAGTATTCGTCTTTTTAATACCAGCTTCTTACTGAGGATGAGAAGCGTGAAAAGGCAATGGTTGCCTCCAAATTAAACATTCATTCCAAACCCTAAGCACACCTGTGGCTGACCCCGCAAAAAGTACGTTAATTGATCCAATCGAATGCGCGAGAAGTAACACTTCGAATTGCTAAAACCGAGAGAAATAGGAAGACTAAATCAAGAATTAAAAGATAAACTTGAGAGTTTATTTAGCAAAAAAGTGGAATATTTCTTCAAACAGTCAATGTCAGATCCCACTAAGAAAAACGCCTTCCCAAAAATCAAGAATTAAGATTGGAGGTTCTACAGAAACCTCCATGTTCGCAAGACTCTCCAAATTCGAATATTAACTTTTTCAGGATCACGGAGCATACAAGGGAACAGAAATTTCGAAACGCGGTTAAAGCCGGAAACCACTTTAACGATTATCTTACCTAAAAAACGATTTCTTGGCATATACATATAGCCCTGCTTCAAAAGTAGCATAGCAGGAACATAATTAAGCAATTATTTACTATAAAAAATTAAAAATTAGTGATCTCTAATAATATTTCTCTTCATTCCTCACTCCTTTGCATACCCCTTAGAGCTTCTGGATAGGAGCCATATATCGCTTGCATTCTTTCAATGAGGAAATATTCGATTTTAATATTAATGAAGTGTCCTTGGGGAGCTATTAGATAGTCTTCCAGTAAGTCAACAGTTGGAAATATCAATTAATGGCCAAAGGAAATGGTTTTCAAAGCTGTATTTTTTATCTCGAATGGAACACTATAGAGGTCGATTCATTTTTACCACATCAAAAAGTTGGAATACACTTTTGTGTCTCTACTATAATTCAAAATGTCCCGTTCCTGCTACTATGACCAAGATGTCCACTACAGAGGAAATGTGGAAACCAGAAGACAATCCAATTCATATTGTTAATTTTCATGCCATGAAGGTATTGTTCTAACTAGCAGTCGATATGTCAAGATTTCGGCTACTAAATGAAACTGCGTTTATCTAGGACACGATAAACGCCATTCTTGCATAATATTTCTGCATGATTGTCCAAAGGATATCTCAATGCTTTCTCTTAAACAGTAATTTAGTAAGTCCTTCTTTTGGAACAGCACAAAAGAAAAATTAGATTCCTGATTCATTGTTAATTATTTATACTCCTTTCTAGGGAGCAAGCTGATTAATATGTAAATTATGGGATCTTTACCCCCAGAAAGTCGCTACTCAAATCACACACAGAACTAAAGCAGCCACCTTTAACGATTTTTCATTGGAAAATCAAATCTTTGCAACCCCGATGTAAATTCTCTTTAAAGGCCGTTACCTTTTTGAAATTACAAATAGAAAATACCACAAAATTCTTTAAATAAATGAGAATAAGGCAGATTACAAAATTTACAAAGTCGACTTGCATTTTTAGAGGTAGGACATATAAAGCAGACAGTTAAAGAATATCAAATTTGGAGATCTAACTTTTGTTTACCTAAACTAGAAAGCGTTTTTTCCTTTTGTGGGGATGCTTTGATTAAATTCATTTGTTTGACTTTAACTTGATTAGCGAAACACGTGATGCCATTTTATCATATCAATAATGAAAAAAATACTTTTATACTTAAAAATGAAATTAAAGTTAGAAATTATTAAAATTTGATTGTTTATCGTCAAAAATATATGTATACTATAGTGCAATCAGATGGTAGTTTACGAATTTGCGATAAATTTAATTCGTATTGCTTTTGGAGTCCATCTTACTAATAACCAACAAAAACTGCATTCGTGGATAATAAATGAATAAATTATATCCATTTGTGATTGATATTTGAAAACTAGATCCAAACCTTGGCCCAAGATGAAGGGGCTACCCTACTTCAAACCACACAGAAGGGAAAGATGCGATCCTAAATAGAGAATAGATAAATACCACAAGTTTACAAAATCGATAACTCACTTCTGCTACAATGTTTTGGTAGTTATTCGGTATTAGCGCTTGAAAACTTTCCCAGCATAGACTTATTCAAAAACAGGGTGGACGTGTAATTAGATCCAGTGTTCGTAAATTACAATGGTATGCATGCATTAGTCTATTTTACATATACATTTTGAGTCAAAAAATGTACTAACAAAAAAGAGATTTAATGGATTAATAAACGCACTCGGAAACATATGTCTTAGCTCCCCCCCC